TGATATATACCGCGATCAGAAATTAATTTCTCCGGAGATTAAAAAGCTGAAACCACAGTAATCGACGTAGGAGTAGTCTTATGTTATGCTCCTGATACACTGACAACGAATAGCCTTAAAAGATCGGGTAGTCAACAGGTGCCACTTTTGAAAGGCGGATAAAATAATATCCTACCTGTAACTTCCGCATAAACTCTCCCACTGCTGGTTTGGCTACTGACTGTAGCTTGCTCCTATCCAGGTGAATACGCAGATCGGGTTTCTTGTCTGCACCCCTAACCATTTCTATTTGCAGGACAGGAGGGTCGCATTCTTGGATGACCTGTCGACAAAGACAAGTTGGACATAAAAGATCATTTTTAAGAAAAGGCCTTCTTTGGCACAACAAGGTAAATTTATTCAGTAAATTTTCTAGACTGGTTCCCCAGCTTGTCTTCAGACTAGGAAGGACGTACAACGAACAATTAAAATTCTAAACGTGCAGAAGAAATCAATAGTCATCTGGAGTCAGCGCTGATTGGCAGCTGTGGTATACGCCAGTCCGTATTACTCGGCTCTCCTCTTTTCCATCGTTCTTTGAGATGTTTTTACACTCCATCCCAATGTATATGTCAGTTGATGCATGAATCATCAGAGTACATGGCCTCAATAAATAAACGGCCTTTTTTGGAAGTCCAAACTCCGACTATGCGTGTTTCTTCCCAAGCGAAGCTATGTTCTGTATCAAGGCTATGCACACCTGCTTCGGACAAATGGTCACGTCTCTTCATTGCCAATTGGTGCTCATGAATGTTTGTGGAGACGGACCTTCCTGTTTGGCCACAGTATATGGTATCACAAGCTTCGCATGGCATCTTGTAAACGACTCCCCTCCTATCGTGATAGCCAATCCTATCCTTAGGGTGTACAAACTGGGCACGTAAAGTAGTCGTCGGTTTATGTGTGTGTGTGTTTGAACTCCCTCAAGTTCCTTTCCACGAGGTCGGACATATTCCTTATAGAAGGAAGGATTCGCCATGTATTTGTTTGTGGCGTCTGAGCGGAACTATTTAGTTTATTTTCCCTAAATTGTTGATGTTGTCTCATGCATGGATCACAAAAAAACCTGCGCACAGGAGACCAAGCAGTACCAATAATATACAAAAGAGCATCTCTCCTCCGCCACCTGCAATAAGAGTAGCAGACTGCCAAAAGGGTCGACTTAGATATGACACCAAAATAGGGAAACCAGGATACGGCTACGACTCAAGAGACAGAGGAGGGGTCAGTGTGTACAAGCCCACTTCCTCTCAAAAAGCGCTATAAGATAAAAGCTACGCATTACTCTTCCAAGGGCATGTGGATATAGAGGTTATCGACGGGAGATGGGCGTGAGTCCGTACAGTCCACCCAAGACGTCATACTCACCGAACAACGTCCATGCTGCAGAACAAATAAGAACTATTAGAAGCCTGGGTGTCAGACTCCAAATCCATCAGCAGGCATGTGGATATACCA